ACTTGTAGTGATGCAAAGCTATTTTTTTCGAAAGTAAGTTATGAATTGCTTGTTTTTTTTGCCTAGTATTAAGACGTATTTTTCAGGTCGATTATCTAGTAGACTGTTGACTTCAGATAGTCATGTCATTGAAAGGAATAGTTGGACAGAGTATGGTTTTTGCTGATTTAGTGTGGACATTTTCACTAAAAAATTATGGATTAAACACAGTTTTATTACTTGGCCGCAACTCTGTTTTTAAAATTCTGTATTTCTTTTTTTTTTTTTTTTTTGATATAGAGTATTTTTGACTTTTTTAAGTAGCTGATTTTTTTGCAACACTTACAATGGAATTGTAGAGTTACTTAACGAAGTTATTCGTCCACTCCGGAAAAGCGATAAAAATGGAGGATGGAATGTGTTAGTTGTGGATCGTTTGGCAATGCGTATGCTAAGCGCCTGTTGTAAAATGCATAATATAATGGATGAAGGAATTACAATTGTAGAAGATATCAATAAACGACGTGAACCACTTGTTGTAGGGATTATTTTTTTTATTATGATCTTTTTATCTCTTTGCGTCTTGTTATGGGCATTCTCTTGTTTAGAGTCTCGATGCAATATATTTGCTTGCTCCGACAAAAGACTCTGTGGATAGGTTAATAGCAGATTTTGCGAATGGTCGGAAACAGTATAAATGTGCACACGTGTTTTTTACTGAAGGTAGGCTTAGTTTTTCTAATGTTTTCTGTTTCTTTGTGAACAGCTAGTGAAAGATGTTGATTATATGTTTGATTCTGCAATGATCTGGTATGGTACTAGAAATTGGACTGGGCTTTCCAAAGATCTGCTCCTCAAATTTGATTGAACAATTATTATTTTAGCATGCCCAGATCAGTTGTTCTCATTACTGACAAAGAGCAGTATTGCACGCTATGTAAAAACTCTTAAGGAAGTTAATATTGCGTTCACACCTTACGAGTCGCAGGTCAGTAGGCTTTTTTTTGTTGAGAAATGAAATCTTTATCCAGCATATTAAAATTCTGTGTTAAAAAAAATTCAGTTTTTTTTGCGATTTATGTTCACTTCTTGGCTGCTCTTCGCGCTACAAAAAAGCCAAGAAACTGAAGGACTCAGCGTTCATTTTCTTTCTTTATTACTTTTAATACGTTACTTGTTTTTTAATCTCTCTTCTAGGTTTATACTTTGGATTCTCCTGAGACATTTTCGTTATACTACAATGCCCAGAAACAAGGTGGTTTGACTGCAAATCTTGAACGTATTGCTGAGCAGATTGCAACTGTCTGTGCTACTTTGGGGGAATATCCGTCTCTGAGGCAAATTTATTATTTCATTTATTTCTTTTTGATTGCTAATACGTTCCATCTTTGCACGGAAATCAATTTAAGAGACGTTCGGTTCTACCGTGAAACTGAGTATTTTCTTATCTTGGAAATGTTTAGATACCGTGTCGATTTTGAAAGAAATGTTGAATTAGCGCATCTTGTTGGAGAAAAGCTTGAAGCATATAAAGCTGATGATCCTTCTATGGGTGAAGGTGCGGACAAAGCACGAAGCCAACTAATTATAATTGATCGAGGATTTGACGGCATAACACCACTTTTACATGAACTCACTTTACAAGCGATGGCTCATGACCTCCTTGATATTGAAAATGATGTTTATAGGTACTGACAGAAGCATGATTTACGTAAAACAATGGTATTCTGACGCTAAGTTTTATTTCTCTGTAGTAATTGTAGCTCATTTATTTGAGCACTAACTTGGTAGTGCGCAATTAAAAGCAAATATCATGAGGTGGGTGCTTTTAGGTACGAAACGGGAGGGAATGACAGCGTTGAAAAGGAGGTTCTTTTGGATGAAAATGACGACTTGTGGGTCGAAAACAGGCATAAGCATATTGCTATTGTTTCACAGGAAGTAACGAAAGGTTTAAAGAAATTTTCTGAAAATAAAGCCGGAATGAGCGCGGATGCGAAAACAATTAAAGGTGATCGTGTTATCCTTATCAGGTTTTTCTTTAACCTTGCATGAAGTTTTTAAAGGAGATGCTCGTTTAGGGAAAACTGAAGGGTTTTAAAATTGAGAGGTTGGTAGACTAAATATGGTGCTCATACGATGTAGTTGTCAGTCTTCACATTGCTGCAAATTTTTCAAAATATATGATTGAGGTGGAATGAAATTGTACAATCATTCTAATCGTAGCTGATTTGTTTTAGAATTTTTAGATTACATTAGTGGTTTACTAAATGGAGGAAAAAATTTCTACCAGGTTTTTTACTGCTCTAGATCAGTATCTAGCATTTTTTATAACCTAGACAACTTGGGAGTTATAAAGCACATATGTCCAACTTTCTTAAGATATGATCATTTGGCTTGGTATTATCTGAGTTTTATGAAATTAAGCTATTTTTTGCTACGAATTGATTCAAGTTCAAAGTTATGAATGCTTACTTGCCGATTTTGTGAAACAGCTATAACACTTTTTCAGACCTCTCAATGATGATAAAAAAGATGCCTCAGTATCAGAAGGAGTTAAACAAATTTAGCACGCACTTTCACCTGGCTGAAGAGTGCATGAAAAAGTATCAGAGTGGTATTGACAAGTTGTGTAAAGTGGAGCAGGTAGTTTTTGTGTTTACTGGCTCTCACTGTTATTTTTTTGTTTTTGTATCTTTTTAAATATCTTTAGGATCTTGCAATGCAAGTGGATTCGGAGGGCGAGCGTGTAAAAGATCCTATGAAACTGATGGCTCCATTATTAATGCATTCCTCAGTAGAAAACAGCGACCGGCTTAGATTGATACTATTATATATCATTTCGAAAAATGGTGTGTCAAATTCCTTTTTTTCCGTATTTTCGTGAAACATATACTTTAATTATTTGCATCTGAAACTATTACTTTTAGGCATAACGGAAGAAAATTTGAACAAGTTATTGCAGCACGCAAACATTGATGCCGATGAAAAAGATACCCTAACAAATGCGTCGTTCCTTGGCTTCAATGTTACTATAGATGTCAGTTATAATTGTTTGAGTTTTTAAACTGATTGTTAACAGAAGAGCAGTTTATTTACTACTTTAACTGCAAACGATTATCTCGTTTTAGCAGGGACGAAAACGTACATGGACACCACAACGTCGTGAACGTGGAAATGAGCAGGTATATCAATCTTCACGTTGGGTTCCTGTTATTAAAGACGTCATGGAAGATGCCATCGATGATAAATTGGATTTGAGACATTTTCCATTTCTTTCTGGAAGACAGGCGAATCCTTCTTATAGAGCCCCTACTAGGTATAGTTAACATATGCTCTATTAAAGAAATTCACTTCAGGGAACAGAATCAATATTCAATTACCATTTAATATTTTAGTGCCCGATATGGACAGTGGCATAAGGAAAGAGGACACCAATCTTCATTTCGGTCAGGCCCTCGTCTAATTATTTTTATAGTTGGCGGGGTTACATTTTCTGAGATGCGTGCAGCATATGAAGTTACTAAAGACAAGAAGCCGTGGGAAGTTATCATCGGTTAGTTCGTTACTGATGATTTAAAGCTAGTTGTTGAATTTATTTTAATACTACTCATAATTGGGTTTCTTTGATGAGGCTACTTCAGGCTATTGTAGTAAATTGGGATCCTTACAGGTTCTGATCAAATATTAACTCCAACTTCATTTCTGGAAAACTTGAGGATCTTAACGAAGGCAGTGGATGGATAATTATTTTTTGCTTTTTTGTTTATCTATATTTCTGCAAATAATCTGCTCACTTATCTGCTTTCTTGCGTGTTGCTTTTAATGTTAGGTTACGGTGCAATATTAGCGCAGTCTCAACAGTTACAGTAGAAGTGGTTTATTAGACGTATTTTATATGTATTGAAACTTAGAGAATTATTTATAATCTTATTTGCTGGGAAAGATCTCTTGGACTATGGCAAGAGCTTTAAAGATTGAAGTGTTTTTTAAATTTCTGTGCAGGATATGTGCATCGTCAAAGATTTTGCAGTCATATACTTTTGTGTCCCCTTAACTTTTCTTTAAAGATTGTGTAAAACGGCATTTTAAAGCTTCTAGCCATAATAATTTATTTTTCTTTTAGTTTACTTAATTGTTTTGTTTAGGTTGAAGTAGTCATTAACGAGCTGAAGTCTCGATAGTATGCACAGGCTAAGTCACTAAATAATCGTTATTTAGAATCCCAAAATCAAAATGTGCAATTTTTTATTTTGGTTGTGACTTATAGTAATGTCACACTAGTTTTAGTAATCATAATTCAGGCATTCCACTGTGTAATAGTATTCATCTGTGTTCTGTATTGAAAGCAACATTTTTTCCATTTGTTTTTTTTCTCGTGGATTCCCTTTTTTATGTATTTACTTTTGCATTCAGTAACGATTTGCTTGTAAGCGGTGTATTTACAACATACACAGCGAATGATAGCAGACAGTAGTTGGTTACGCATTGAATCTTTAAAGTCGTATTAATTAGTTCTTTTTCAATTTATAGTCCCCGGATAAAGTAAAGTGCGTAGAAGACTTCTCATACCAATAAGTAATTGTTGCACTGAAGTTTTGAAATCTTTGTTTTTTAAATGAAACAAGCTTTTCTGCTGCGGATATGTCAGTGTGCTTTATCTAAGTTTAAAGTAAGGAGACTAGTCAAGGAAAGTTGCTGGTTGCCCTGTAGAGAGCTGCGTAGTTACTTTTTTCCAGGTCATAGTACATCAGCTTTCTCAAATTTTAAGCATCTGGGTACATACAGAAATTACTGTACGAAAGAAAATTAATTGAATACATTGCAGCGAGATTCCTGGGCTGCTTCGGCAGGCTAAATTTTGACGCATTATCAGCCACATCCTTCGTAACAATTCCCAGACGTCTTAAGCAACTAAAAAATTGACGTACAAGGTGGATTTAGGTGGCTTTATTTGAGCGTTGGGCAGTTTAGAGCTGTTTTCCTCATGTCATCGTGGTGAGGCACTCTCTTCTGACTTAACCGATTGTCCGTCAGCTTGTCGTACAGTTTTTTATTTGTTTTTGTTTTTTGCTGTGGCTCACTAATCACTAGTGCATCATACTGTACCTATTTAAACTGTACTCTTAATAAGTTTACTTAAATTACTTACGATTTGTGGAAGGTCATGTCTCCTCTTCTTGTAAAACACTTACCAACTACGTATTTTTTTCTTACTGTCATTCAGGGAGCACCACCAGCGAACAAAGGTTTATCAGTTTTTTAAAACAGTAAGGGCTCTTTCTGTATCCGTGTAAAGGTGGTAAGATATTAAAGAAATTTCATTTTTTTCCCTTTAACAAAAATTCCTTTGCGAATTACTGTTACTAGGGACATGTCATCAATCAATGCTTTTCCTCCAGAGTTCTAAGAAGTAAACAAGTACAGGTGAAATACTGAATGACGGACAACGAAAGATAGGTGAAACCCGATTGCAAAAAAAAAAAAAATAAAAAATAAAAAATGGTAGTGGCTAGGTGAGATCAGGTGTTTGGAAACTGCGACATGGTGTTTTACGTCTGAAGCGGTTAGGCATGGTACCCGGGGATTGAATCTTGTGTACTATAGCTGTAAACGTTCCGCTCTGGCTGCTTCAAAGTTCAATCTTTCGCCTTCTTAATTCTTCTGGGTGAAAGCCAAAAAATGTTGTTGGCAGCTTTGGTTTAGCGTACTTTCTCTCGCGGTATGCTACCGAACTGAATGTAGATACACAATTGCCGATAAAGTGGTCGGCACGAGCAAGAATTGCTAGACTAACTTGAGCGTTGTCAGGATCCAAACGATAAGCTTTTACCTGGAACGAGTTTGCACTTGAGTCGAAACTTTATGTTTTTCAAAGCAAAAACGAAAGTTTCAATTCATCTTGTACTGTAGGGAAGGCAAAGAGAAATACATGATTTCTCTATACCAGTCAGGAGAAAGTTATTTAAAGAGTGCTTCAAAAATCTTTGGCACTACGCGTGCATTATGTTCTTTATACTTACCCTTTCTGACTTGAATTGTTCATTTAATTCATCAATGTAATACTCACGGTCACTGGAGACGAAAATCGACTTGGCGTCCAACCTGCGCACCATCGCTTTTACCTAAACACTTTCTTTGTCTTAGCACTTAATTAATGAATTTCTTGTTCAGTTATAGTGAACGCGCCGTGGCAGTTACAACTATTAGTATTTTTATGGCTCAAAAAAGCTGATGAATTTTTTACAAAACGATATGAGTTAATTTTTCCCTATTTCCCTGTCCACTGTAAGCGTAAAATATGCCTATAACGAGTGGATGATTAACGAATGCCGTACCACGGCAACATCCCCTCCGAACGCTCAGAAACAGGCAATAATTGTCAGGGAAAAGCATCCGCAACAATAGCTTAGGAAATAAAACCAAATTCCGCTACAGCCTTCTCAGAAAGAAAAAAACAAGTACTTCTCGTAACAGTTTGAAAATTCTGAACAGCAGAAGCTGTAAAGCATGGTAGTAATGTAGTCAGTGGAATCCTTACATCGTCAACTATAGTAGGTAAAGATGGTGCACACATTTCCTTAGTTAAATTTGCTTTCTCGCCGTAGTCTCCAATACACTGGGCTGAGCCAAAGAGTTGTTTCGTAACTCCTTCCTGGACGTGTTCGCATACTCTGTCCTTCAAAAGAAACCAAACTGCCACTTGCAGTTCAAACTTCATCACTCCAAATTACCAATTCTGTAGGCTTCTGACGTCAACAGTTTATTAGTTTTTACACTTTGAGGCAAGAGTAAAATAAAATGTAAGGCCCATTACAACGGCATCAGTGTTTTATGAATAAGGAGGAAGAGTAAAAAATTGGTGTAGCTATACTAAACGTTTCGTCCAAGTCATCTTTTTTTCTTCCTTACAACAAGCAATCTTACTCTTGCTCCAAACATTTAATCAGGTACTTTCAAAACTAGAAAATTTACAATGAATGAGTTCAAAGTGATATCTAATGTAAATTTCTAGGGATGATTCAATAATTTTTGAAGCACAGTCAAACTAGAAGTTCTCCATTAATAGTGGAAAAAAGTATTACCCAATCGAGATCGTTCCGCAAATGAATGCCAATGTACGGCCTTGTCAAATGTTCATTTATAAAGTCTGTTGCCCTTTTTGAAATCTGAGGGCTCCATTTCAAGAACATCTGCAAATGTCGGTCTTTTTCCTTAGCAGGGAAGGCTGCCGGAGCTGACGAAAAAGCAAGTACAGGATATGTTTCTGCTGGGAACCTATACTGAAATTTGATCTGAGAAAGAACAACGAAGAAAAAAAAAGCAACTAATCAACAAATCCGCTACTTCGTTAATACTGATTAGATACTGTTTAGTGAGTTTGGCAGATGGAATAACAAACGAAACTTTCTTGTAACTCGTCAGTGACTTGAAAGACGACAATTACTTGGTTATCGATACTGTCAAGTCTTTGATTTTTAAAAATATTGAGGTTATGTGTATAATGTAACAGATGAGTTTGAATACACACATAGTTGTTATCTCAGCAATATTTTTCCGCAACTAGATATTAAAACAGTTACTTTTCCAACCACTGTTTCTTGGTATCCTTAGCGCTAATATCGAAACCGTTGGTAATTTGGCTGCCAAAGAAAACGTCGTCAACAAAATCAACTTTTGCGTGGTCCCAGAAAGGTCCAAAGGGATTCCCCTCTTTAGCTTGGCAACCAGGCGGAGCATTCTCATCAAATATGCTTTTTCTCGGATTCCAACAGAACACTGCAAAAAAAAAATTTTAACAGGGAAATGTAACTAACATTGAATTTGTAAGCTGTTATTGTGCACTCATGAAGCCCTAAAAATCTCGAAAGGTGTTAAATTAACAAATATTATTACTGGACACTCCGTGGAACTGTGCTACAATTAAAACTTTATGATGTAATAATAAAGAAAGATAATGCTAAAGATACCTTTTCGTTGATCTTTCGGCCATATATCTGGTGCTACCTCAGTCATGAACTTTTTCATCGTAATTACATGATGGTAAGCTTCTAAAGGTTTCTTGGAAAAATACCTTGTAAACTCTACCATGCTCTAAAATAGAAAATCTTTCAGTTGGATCAAACTTACTCAAATGTTAGCCAATGGAAGTCTGACAGTCAAAAAAAATTTTCCTTCTTCGCTGCTGTAAAGACGCTATTCTGGCTTGGTAAGTCTCAAGAACTTTAAAAGGAATTGAAATTAAAAAAAATAAAAAAGTTCTAGTAATTAAACGTAGTAAACGTAAGGAAGTGCAAAAAAATTCATTGCGAAAAGCTTGGAAGATTTTACTGCGAAGATTTTTTTAGCACATGATATTTTTTAAAAAGAGACGGGGTTGTCAATGTGTGATGAAAAATTGATGATTTACTTACAGCTTGTGGTTTTCCAAATTCATACTCTATAAACGGTGGTAGAACAAGTGTCCGATGAAGAGCACGAGCAAATGCTAACGAACCCAAAAACTGTTCCACTTGATTGCCAAACCTTCCCATACAAGGGCAATAGATCACATAACCTTTTAATTCATCATCTTTTTCGGCGACACAACAACTGAGATATGGCAAAAGAAGGATAAGAAGCAATATCCCGTTCATCCTTTGAATTCCTTTCCAGCGCTGAAAAGTACCCGTCACTAATTTTTCTAAAAGGAGTCTTACTGCCTGTCGCGGCTATCGACAGGATTTCAAAACCGAGAAGTTTGTTACAAATTTCCCTCTATATCTCCCTATGGGAAACTTTATCTCTTCCTTTTGTTTCCCTGTAAGATGTGAGTAGTCGTTTATTACCTCACAAAGAAACACGATTCCAAAAGACTGTCTTTACCGTTGCTCCACGCAAATAGTTTCTACTTACTTAAGTTACTGCTACCTTATAACCTTTGTAGCAGTTTCTACTTATTTAAGTTATCACTTCTTCCCGACCTGGTGAGGATTGCTACTGTGATAAGGAGATCTTAAACAATCCTTTGTTTGGTACTATGTCTTAACGGGAAGCCTTGTTCTCTTATTCACAGTCAAAGTATGCTTGTCCTCCTTTTTTTTATTTTTAAAGAGTCATGTCTTAATCCGTTTATTTACGTTAAATTACTACAACCCACAAATAAAGCAAACTAAGATAACTACTTCGATTATTTCAGAACAGTACAACAAATTTAATTAACAAGAATGAAATCTTAAACTTAACACACATTCGTGAGACGACTATATTTAAGACTTTGAATCCACCAAAGAATGCAACGTTTTCTGAAACGGTTAACAGTTTCCGTCAAATGTGAAGCTCAGCCGGCTGGCGATGCTTCGCTCATTGGCCGAGGTTGACAACTACATCCGGCTGGCCTCCAAAAGCGTACCTTCGGGGTCATATCAGAGTAGGTGCTAAATAAAGGGCGGG